AAAAAAAAAAAAAAAAAAAGAACTGAGGTTCTGGGAATTGCTGTGAATGTGATTATTGTGGCAGAGACACAGAGGCTAAACCATCTCTCTGTCCACTGCTGGGAAGGTATGATGCTTGCCATCTCTCTGGGGTTAGAGAGATGAGGGTAGACAGTGGCACTTCTCTGCCTCTGGAAATCTCAGAGCAAGTTACCAAACACTGTGAAGACTTTGAAGATAACTACAACCTCTTTGGTCTGCAGTAAGCAAGGCTGAGAATCTCAGGTCTAGCTTTTGGGGAAGGAGTCAGGTAGAGTCCAAATTCACTTCTGGGAGACTGAGGCCTGACTCTGGGCTGGGCCTGGGATCTGGCATGTAGGAAGGGATTTTCCTGTCCTGCTTATCCCCTTGAGCTGGAGACTGTCCTGGGAGAGTGAATTTAGGTCCCTTCTCTCAGACTAGGAGAGGAAACTAGACAGAAGTGGAATTTAGGGAGCCAGCACCTCTTTACAATCAGCAATAGGTCGTGGTTAGGAGCAATGATTGGGGCCAGGCTGCCCAGGTTCAAAGCGCTTTTTTTGCCCTTGTGATTTCTGGCAGCTTACTCAATCTCTCTGGTCCTGGAAAATGAAGATGGTGATGGTACTTGTAGAGTTGCTCTGAGGAATAAATAAACTAATTTTCAAAAGCTCTGAGAATGGAGTTACATGTTCTCTCTCCACCACCTCTGTCCCTCAGGGCTTTAAAAGCCCCAGCATGGATCCCGAGGGCTATCAAGTCAGCCCAAAGCCTTGGATGTCTATAAATGGTAATTTAGAGGGAGGGCCCTCTTTATTTTTGTTCCCACTGCCTCCCCCTTTTTCTGAAGAATTTCCAATTCTCCCCTCCTAGCCCCATTTTTCCTAATCTTTTCTTTGTTTCTGTAACTCCTCTCTTTTTTCTATTTGTCTCTCTGCATCTCAATCTTTGTGTGTACTTGTGTGTCTCCCACTCTCTTGTCTTACCTCTACTGCTTTCTGCCTCTGCTGCCTGCCTTTCTTCTCTCACTATCTTTTTTATTTTTTTTGAGACAGAGCCTCTAGCTGTCCCCCTGGGTAGAGAGCTGTGGCATCTCAGCTCACAGCAACCTCCATCTCCTGGGCTCAAGCGAGTCTCCTGCCTCAGCCTCCCAAGTAACTGGGACCACAGGCACCCGCCACAAGGCCCGGCTATTTTTTTGGTTGCAGCCGTCATTGTTGTTTGGTAGGCCCAGGCTGGATTCGAACCGGCCACCTTAGGTGTACGTGGCTGGCGTCTTAGCCACTTGAGCCACAGGCACCGAGCAGCATCTTATTTTTTTTTGAGACAGTGTCAGAGTCTCACTTTGTTACTTTATTGCCCTTGGTAGTGTTGTGACCTCACCTTAGAGTGCTGGGGCCTCAGGGCTCACAGCAACCTCAAACTCTTGGGCTCAAAAGTGGTCCTCTTGCCTCACTGTAGCTGGGACTACATGCGCCTGCCACACGCCTGGCTATTTTTAGAGATGCGGTTTGGCTCTTTCTCAGGCTGGTCTCCAAATCCTGAGTTCAAGCAATTTACCTGCCTTGACCTTCCAGAGTGTTGGGATTACAGGCATGATCCACTGTACCTGGCCTTCTTTCCCCCATCTTGCCCCTTACCTGTCCTGATCCCTGTCCACCTGTTCCCACATTCTTTTTCCTTTCCCCTCACCCAGTCTCAGCCTCCCTGCCCTTGCCTTGTCTTCTCTTTGTCTCTCTTCCTTTTCCTCCTAGTCTCTCTTTTGGTCTCTCTCTTTTTTTTTTATATGAAACAGAGTCTCACTCTGTGCTGTGGGTAGAGTGCCTTGGTGCCATAGCTCACAGCAACCTCAAACTCTTGGGCTCAGCGATTCTCTTACCTCAGCCTCCCAAGTAGCTGAGACTACAGGTGCCTGCCACCACGCCTGGCTAGTTTTTCTATTTTTATTAGAGACGGGGTCTTGATCTTGCTCAGGTTGGTCTCAAACTCTGGAGCTCAGGCAATCTACCCAGTTGGGCCTCCCAGAGTGCTGGGATTACAGATGTGAGCCACTGCTCCCAGCCTCTTTTGGTCTCTTTAAATCTTTCATTTAACAAGCATTTTTTGAGTATCTACTGTGTGCCAGGGCTTATTTAAAACACCAGGGATGTGGCAGCATACAAAACAGGCAAACATTTCTGCTCTCAGTGGGACTGAGGAAACAGACAAAAGATACAACTAATAACTTGAATGCATGGTATACCAGGTAGTAATGAGCACAAAGAAGAAATGATGGAGAAGCTGGTTTCTTGGTAGAAGATTGAGGCAGGTGAAGTTGGGGCAGAGGGAACAGTTAAGTGCAAAGGTCCTAAGGCTGGAGGTGCTTGGCTTGTTCAAGGAACAGTAAAGGAGCCACTGTGGCTGGAACAAGAAGTGAAGAGGGGAGCAGTGGGAGGAGGAGGTGAGGTGAGAGATAATGGTAAATTGGTCAGGGTCTCATGGGTCATGGTGTGGACTTTGGCTTTTACTTTGAATGAAGTGGGAGCCATGGGTGGGTGGGGGGAACCGTGAGCTGATTTAGATGTTAAGATTCTCTGACCCTAGCCAGGTGTGGTGGTGCACACCTGTAGTCCCTGCTTGCCACTCAAGCAGCTGAGACAAGAGGATTGCTTTAGCCCAAGAGTTTGAGGTTGCTGTGAGTTATGATGCCACAGTGCTCTACCCCGGGTGACAGAATGAGATTCTGTCTCAAAAATAAATAAATTAAGACCCTCTGATTTCTGACTGCCACGTGGAGAAAGGAGTATAGGGAGTGACAGTGGAAGCTCAGAGACCAACGAGGAAGCCATTACCATGGTGCAGGTAGGGGATGATGGTTGTGGGACCAGGATGATGGCTGAGAGGAGAGAAGTTGTTGGTCATAATCTGTGTCTGTGTGTTAAATGGTAAAATACAAACACAGGCAATGATGATAATAGTTACTTTAATCAATTTAGAGTGTATAGTTCAGTGACATTAAGTACATTTACAATGCTTTGCACTCACCATTACCAATCATCTCCAGAATGTTTTTATCTTCCCAAAGTGAGACTCTGTGCCCATTAAACACCTCAGCCCCTGGTGACCAATAGTCCACTTTCTGTCTACATGAATTCACCTGTTCTGGACATTTCATATAAAAGGAATGTGTACCTTTTCGTGTCCAGCTTCTTTTCACTGTTTTTAAGGTCCATAGTGCTATAGCGTGTATCAGAGCTTTCCTTCTGTTCATGGCTACATAACATTTTGCTGTATGTATAAACCATAGTTCATTATTTATTGGACGTTTGGGTTCCACCTTCTGGCTTCCCCCTTCTGGCTGCTGTAGATAGTACAGCAATGAACGTGTGTGTATAGGATTTTGTTTGAAAGCCTGTTTTTTTTTTTTTTTTTTT